CGCCCCAGAGCCCCTGACCGGCCCGGCGGGCTCCGCCCAGCGCTCAGCCCCGCGGCGCCGCAGCAGCCTCCTGGCGCCGCAGCCCGAGGGCAGCGGCAGGCTGGGGGATAAGCACGTGTCGGGGAGAACCACACATGGGTGAGCCGTGTGTGTGCTGAATGCGCGTGGGGTGTGGGCATAAGCCTGAGGGGAACACGCGTGTCAGCCCCAGGTGAGCTGACACCCACACACAGCGGTACAGGCTGAGGGAAGAGTGGCCGGAAAGCTGCCCGGCGGGAAAGGATCCGGGGGTGTTTGTCGACAGCCGGCTGAACAGGAGCCAGCAGTGTGCCCAGGGGGCCGAGAAGGCCAATGGCATCCTGGCTTGTATCAGCAATAGCGTGGCCAGCAGGGACAGGGAAGGGATCTGACCCCTGTACTCGGCACTGGTGAGGCTGCACCTCGATTCCTGTGTTCAGTTCTCAAGACATTGAGGTGCTGGAGCCTGTCCCGAGAAGGGCAGTGAAGCTGGCGGTCTAGAGAACAAGGCTTATGAGGAGCAGCTGAGGGAACTGAGGGTGTTTAGTCTGGAGGAGGCTGAGGGGAGGTTGTAGTGAGGGGGGTGTTGTCCCTTTCCCCAAGTAACAAGTGGCTTCAAGTTGTGCCAGGGGAGATTTAGATAGGAAATTAGGAAAAATTTCTTCACTGAAAGTGTTGTCAAGCATTGGAACAAGGCTGCCCAGGAAAGTGGTTGAGTCACCAATCCCTGGAGCTATTTAAGTCGTGTAGATGTGGGACATGGTTTAGTAGTGTACTTGGCAGTGCTGTGGGTGCGTGTGCCAGGTCACAAACTGTCTGCGTACACTGGCAATACAGAAGTATGATCAGCATTCAGGTTAGGAGATTAACAACATCTAAATTAATGACGCATTTGGGTTAGAAGAGTAACGGTGTCTAGATTAACAACAGCTAAAAGCAAAACAATTTGTTCTTGTTAGGAAGAAACAGATAAGAAGGGAATCTTTAAACAAAGCAGAAACTTACCTACTGTCTGCACGAGGTTAGTAGTATTTGTTGAAAGTGCTGAGAGGAACTAATTTTTTGAAATGAGCATGCACAAGAGCAACATATGGATTTGCTGTTATTTTTTAGAATGCACAAGAATATATAAGGACTTGTTTTTATAATAAACTTCGGAGCTTGACTGTTAACCATATTGGTGTGTGTCTTGACTCAGCCTCGTCCTGCAAAAGGGTTTTCTGCTACACAGTGCCAGGTTAACAGTTGGACTCTCTGAGCTTAAAGGTCTTTTCCTACCTAAATGATTCTATGATTCTGTGATTCTATGTATTTATCCCATGCATGGTCGCCTCACGAGTCCATTCCCATGGGTATGAACTTGGGTGGAGAGAAATACACATGGGCTCACTCTCATGTGGAAAGATCATGCATGGGTTGAACTCATGTGGGCTGAATGCATGTGGATGTGTGTTGAGTATGAACTCACGTGGGGATAAATTGCATGGCCAAGCAATGTGTGGGATAAACTTGCCTGTGGAGATGCACGAGTGAGTACGAGCTCATGTGGGAATAAACACACATGGGTATGGACTTGTGGGGATAAAAATAAGAAACATGGGCATTAACTTACATGAGGGGAAACTCATGTGGGGTGTATGGGTGTAAAATATGCATGTGGAGGAATGTGTGTGGGGACATGCATGAGGGGATTTACATGTAGGGATGACTTGCACCAGGGGGCCTGCCTGGGCTAACCCCCATCAGGTAATCCACACCAGATAACTCACCCAGGATAACCCACACCAGGTAAAAGACTCATACCAGATAACCTACACCAGGATAAGCCACCTGGGAGAACCCATGCCAGAATGATCCACCCTGGATAACTCGTGCCAGAAAACCCATAACGGATGGCCCACCCATGATCAACCCATGTGAGCTATCCCATTCTGGATGACCCACACCAGAGAAGCCACACAGGACAACCCACCTGTGGTAATCCAGATTACAGGCAGTGACAGGCTGTATTATACCAGCAATGTTACTCGAACAACTGAACACACAGACACACGTTCTCTGTAGCAGAAAAAAGTCCATCCTGTAAACAACAGGACACTGCCTAGCACGTGCCGTAGTGATCGGTGCTTTGTACATGTCAGGATGTTACTTGCCTGATGATCACACTTGCCAAAATCATTCCACTTAAAAAGGTTTCACAGATGGGGCCGCTACAACAGCTCTATTAAAAATAGTAGATTTAAGAGAGAATGTTTGGTGAGAAGCCATGGCAGATTACAGTGGTATATACTAAAACCTGGAAAACTTTTTTCTCAGTTGTGTGCTTCGCCACGCTCTTACCTTGTGATGTATTTATACTCCTTGGGGCACAGTTCAATGCTTACATTCTACTAATGGATTGAATGCCTGATACTCACCACTCAGGTCAAGCTGCTGTAGATTTCTTAGTGATGTAATAGATTTGGGGAGCTGGCCAATATCATTATTATTTGCAATTAAATGGACTAAATACTCCAATGTAGTACTACTCCAGACTAAGTTCCCCAATGTTATTTGGAATTTCCTTTAATGCATTTTGAGATATGTGCAGTTCCCTGAGGCAAACCAGTTTAGATAGCTCCTCTGCAATTTTAGATAACTGATAAATAAAACAGTTCATTTATTTAGCTACAGCTCTGTCTTCTGCAAAAAGTTTAAGAGGTAACTTTCCTGCAGGCAAAATAAGATTCCATAATATAATTCCAACAATAAAAGTTTCTGACCTTTGATTCCAGTGAAAGCTAATTTGGTATTTTCCAATTAAAAATATGGATGCTGAGCACAGAAATTTACAGGGAAGCTTTTAAGATGTGTTACTAGAAAGCCAATAAAAAGCATGCACTAATACCTCTATAGCTGAAGCTTTGGGAGATGTTCTTTTGGTCATTGTTATAATTAATGAAAAATTTAACAGTCTAATTTTATTTTCTGTTTTCTTCAGCCACAAGGTAGTGAAATATGCAATTTTATTCTTTTTGGTTCTGTTCTCATGTTGGTCTTTTCTAATTTTTATTTTCCTTCTTGGAACTTCATCTGTTTCCAATTATGTGGAAACTAAAGCTACAGCTTTCTGAGAAATGGATGTAAGATTGCATACTTTTTGCTCCCAGGTCTGAAGAAAGCCAGCCCTTGGAAAGGATCATAACCACATTTAAAATCATATAAAGAAATATGGGCCTTCTCTAAAATCAGGTATGAAATACTGATTTTGCAATTTCTGGTGAAAAGAGAGGTAACTCATCAGGAGATTGTTTTGCTCTGTTCCTTAGTATTAAAAACCAGAAAATAAATTAGACTTTGGATTTTAGAAATGTAAAGGAATTTTCTCTGTTATAAGAGATCAGGGATGCAATATAGCTTTTCTTGTTTGAGTTAGTGGAAGTTTAATGACCAACTAAATAACACACTGTCTCCAGTGAAGAAAGATGACATATTTCAAAAGGAAAAGATCCAAACTGGGTGTTTGGTACATTTAAGTATTTGATCGCTTCCAGATTTCTTATCTGGAAAGGAATACTCTTTATTTGATTATTTGAAATGCTGAGTGTTTTCAAACACTTTAAAGAACAGAATTCTTTAGGGAATGAGTCAAACTTATTATGGTGTAACAGCAGTACCTGAAGAGCCTTCATCTGGGACACCACTGCTGGCATGCTATTGATTTCATTCTCACTTACATCCAAGTAAACTGATTTTGTAAGGCTACACAAGCATGCAGAAGATAAGGACAGGATTTTTTTTGTTTAACTCTAGATGCCCCAAATCTTTAATGTCAGAAATTCCAGGTATTATTTCTGAAATAGAGTTAACACTAAGATTTAAGGGTTTAAGATCAAATAGTGCACACAATGCATCTGGAAACTGAGAGCACTTATTGCTGAGGTCAGCTTTGGTTACCTATGTGCAATTTTTTACAATTCCTGTAATTCAGCAGGAATATATCTTAATGTGTTTCCATAAAACTCTGTTTTGGAGAGGTCTTTTAAATGCAGTATTTGTTCATCTAGTGAGTCCAGTCAGTTTCTACTTTAAAAAAATTAGCTCCTTTTAATGCTTAAATCTGTGAATATTAGCAGGAAGCTGGATTAATTGATTCTTATGTATAATTAGATGTTTCAGCATGGTACAGTTGAAAAGATTATCTGTCATGCTTTTAAATAAATTTTTGCAAGGTTCAGAAAACCAAATTTTGTCAACCAGAAAATCTGCACAGGCAAAAATAAAAGCTTGTTACTAATTGAAAATTCTTGTCATATCTTAAGCGCTTTAATATCCTTTGGTAAACCTAAATGGAATTCTCACATATGGCTGAGTTTTACTAGATGAGGAAGGTAGCAAAGAACCCTTGAGAATACTGAGATTTGAGTAGAATCAATGTTGAGTACCTTCAAATTTTTCATGTCCACTATGGTATCTAGTAAAGTTTTTATCTTGTTGCCTGCAAGCTCTAAAGTTTCAGGGCTTTCCAATGCAAAAGGAAATTCATCAGTGTTGCAGTAATTGAGAAAGAATTCCTTAATCTTTAGAATCTTTAAGAATTCTTTAGGGAGACATGACAGATAACTGGTTGTGACTGACATTCAATACCATCAGTTTATGAAGTATGGGTATTTCTGGTGGCAACAGCATCAGTCTTATTTCTTTCAAGTAACAGGATTTCCAGATTAGTTAGATTACCTGTATTTGAATGCAATGTTTTTATTTCATTGTTGTGTAAGAGCAAATAGTTTAAATTTTGGTTTTCAAAAGCAAGCAGAGGCATGCTCCTTATATCATTTAGTCTAAGTATAAAAGTCTCATCTTTTTCTTCAGGTAAGATATATGTTTATCTATTTTCATCATTTTCAGGATCCATTGCTGGTAGTAATATGTCTGGTCTGGCACCTCCATTGACAGCTTCTGGAAGGACTTGGTTTAGTTCTCCAGTATCCTTTTCAGCTGATGTAAGTAGTGTGTGTTTTCTCACACCTGTTTCAGAGACACCTTGAGGCACCATGGCAGCATTTATCTCAGCTGAGAATTCACATTCATACCTTTTTTCAGGTAAATCACTTCTTGATCTATTTTCAGTCATTTTATGGCTTTCCTCATTGCCAAGCTGCTTTAGGAACTTTATGTGAAATATCACTCACACTTTTCATAGTTAGGTTGGCTACTTTAGGATTCCCCAATGAATGTAATGGGGCTTTTCTGGCATCAGTAACAACTGGAATCTCACAAAAGCTTTTGTGTAGTCCTTTATTATTTAGACCACTTGGAATTTCATGTTCTTCCTTATCCAGAGACATTGTTCATTTTTCTGTGTTGCTAATCCATTCTTATCAGTATTATTTAAGAAATCAAAATGTGTGAAACCTATGTATAATATGTATTAACATTAGTAGACTGAGCTAGCAATTTTAAGACATCTTGATAAAAATCTAGGCTTATTCCACGTTTGTGAACTCCCACTTCTCTGTTAACTCTAAAACAAAGGGATTATTTTACTGCAGTGCTTGCTACTTTAATACCTTGTTTCTTCCAGATAATAGACTACAGATCACAAAACATATATGAGAAATGTGTGATTTGTTGCTTGACATTTCATACAACAGCTCAACCCATCTCAGACAACAGACACTGCTCAGCTCAGTGGACGTTCCACAGTTCTCTAGAGCTCTGTTTGCATGTTCTTCCTGCTTTAAAAACTTTAATGTACTATGTTAAACTTTTGTTCTCCTGCTGCTGATGATGTATGATCATAAACAGTATTTTCCCAACTTCACTTGGCTTTCCGTGGACAAACCAAAGGTATTAGATGGTCTTTTCCTCTCCCCTTATAGGCAGATTTACACCATCTTACTCTGAGTCTTCAAACATAAGTCCCTCAAATAGATCTAAATTTTTTCCTAGTTCCTTTAATACAAGTCTTTCTGCTGATGGGGTAAAGTTGTATAAAATTGTAATATCCTTCCCTCATATTAATAAAAAATCTTTAAGGTCAAGCAGAACCTTTGCAAACCATGTATGTCATTTCTGTTGAGCCTCTACCTGCATTTTTTTCAGTAACAGCCTATTTTCTGCAGTACATCTGTTGTCCGAAACATGGATTTGTCGCCCAGTGTGCAATAGGTCAGAAATCACACACTCGGGAGAGACATTTATTTTACAGTTGCGCAAACTTAGGTGCTCAGTGGTTTCCCACAAGCAAGCACAACAAGGGCTTTTCACACTATATTTATACACAAACTTGCAGAGTTAGTGATTTTCCAAGTCCATCCTCTCTACGATCATTGGTTAGTAATTTACATACAATTATAATAAGACACAATACTTCTAGTACTGTGTATGCTCAGGGGAAGGATCTTCACCTGGGCAAGGGTCTTCTTGACCTATAGGCATGATTTTTAGTATTACAGCGAGAGTAGTTCAGCTAAGGATACATGGACCTTGAGTTTGCTTGCCAGGTTGGCAATGTACCCTCTTCAAGGTCTAATGGCTCTGGGATGTCCTTGCTCAAAGGCTATCTACTTGACCTTCTGATTAGGGATGCCTTTGGCTTTAACATATGCAAGGAACATCTTTTTTGACCTAAGCATAATATTGCTACAGTGTCATAAAAGTTTAACCTTCAACACATCTAGCCCTGAGATAACAATGGTAGGGAACCCCTGACTTTTCCAGAGTAACTTTTCCCTGTGCAAAGCAGCAGCAGGACAACTGGGCTGCATGTGGCATTCCCCTCCAGAGCCTTTCCCTTGGACAGGTCTCTGCCTTCCCCACGCCACAGGCAGAATCAGACCTGGAACTCCAACAGCTCCTGGCCAGGGGGAAGCGAGGCTGGCACCCCTTCTCAGCACCCACCCCAGCCATCACACCAAGACCTGCTGCTGCCGAGACAGTGTGGCCTCCCCTCAGGGTGGCAGCCAACAGTGCCTCCTCCCTGTCACAGTCAGAGGGCATGAAGCAGGAACTGCAGCAATCCCAGAGTTTGTCAATTTTAAGGCCAGAGACGGGTTCGTGGGCAATGAGTTTTGCCATGGTTTAGCCTAGCACTAACCTCAAATCATGCAGGTTCGCTTCACCACAGCAAAAGGCACACAGAATTAGCTGGGTCCACTCCTCACCCACAGCAAGGCCCATGCACACATTGGTGAACAATCCTCAGGTCAGCATGTTAGTCCGATGATTTATTATTCCACTTGATAAAACTGTGCCCTTTTCCACAGTTTTAAGTTTTCAGTTACTATTTTTGCCTTACATTGCCTGGCTGGAGTGTTCTACTCTCAGATCTTTGCTTCATCAGCTATACCGCTACTCGCTCATAAAAAAGAGCGCTTCTTACATAAGTTGTATGAGTAGAGCTGAGTATCTCTTGGTTAAAAAGGCATAATTTTCAGACTTGCCCTTCTTGCAGCTTGTTTTCAATTGTATTTGTTTGGTACAGAGAGGAAGGTTGTTAACTAGTGCTCCATCTCTACAGTGTTGGGATTTCTCTGTCCCAATTTTTCCATTTCCCCACTTTTAAATGAAAGGATTGTACTCACCTTTCTTGTCACAGCAACACAGTGGAAACTCCTACATACCCAGGGGTGCCAGAAGCCTGCTAGCTGTGTAACCTGGCTCTCACTGCTTAATGACTCCACTGACATACAACATCTTTAAACTTCTGGTTTGACATGATTAACAGTTTCCAGTTTTCCTGAGTGGATGCCAAGGTGCGCTACCTTAATTTGTAGTCACCATGGGATCCTCCCTGTGAACTTCTCTGATGATCTTCCTATAAACCTTGCAAAGATAAGCTGTTACTGCTCTTTGGTAATAACTCCTGCTTGGCAAGACATTTGATGGCACTTTCATGTTGGCTGCTATAATAAAAACAACAAACGTGACTTGTTGCAAACAATTTATTAGGTAGTAATAAATAAGAATTTAGCAGAAAGAACTATACAGCAATAAGGCATATCAATTGTTAAATATGCAACTGACATAGCTTAACATTTTCCTCTAGTTTTCTAACAAAGTGCTATGTAGAGAAGTGTATTTCTGATACCAGTTCCACATGATAGCAAGGATGCACTATGAAGGACCTGACTGTTGCATTATTTACTTTAAATAAAATCTAACAATCCATGAAGATTTACTGTTATTTATGCCAGTGAAGTTTAAGTAGAAAAGTATAGCTTGCTAAGAAGATTTCAAAATATGTCTCCTTTTCCCTTTTTTAACTGCTTACTACTTTAATTTCTTAAACTGCAGTTACTAGTAGTAAGGTATGAGTAAAGTTACTACACAACAGCACAGTTCCTAACATACATTTTAATTTTATTTGAAAACTTAGAGGCAAGTGCTAATTTTTGTATTTTAAAACTTTTTTTACAAAATATTGCACACTGTTTTAGCATGCAGTTTACATGGAAGAAACAGTCAAGTGCACTTAAAACCCTGAAATACAACCAGAAATTTTAAACATTTGTGTTATGGAGACTATTTTAATGTACAAGGATATGTTTCAGACTGCATATGGTCCCATCTTACACTTGGGACCCAAATTGTTGATGAGACCCAATCCTGACTCTGCAAAGAGCAGGCAGAATGCTTACACAAACTGTATCGTGACTTCCTTGCAATATAAATCTTCATTCTTGCATCCTGCACTACTTGTAGCTTCAAGAAACTGAAGCAAGTAATCAGGACGAAAACTAGTTTAAACAGCAATAACTTTGTACCTCCTATATAAGTGTTCATTACTGTGTATGTGCTGCAAGCCAGGTATTTATTAAACTTTCTGAAGTCCTCTGAATAAACAGATTAATTGTAAATCTGTATCTCCCTCTCCTCCATATACACATTTTATATTGCACAGCAAAAGTAAAAATACATTTTTCTAAAAAAAACCAAGCACGTTAAACATTTAATATGGCTTCTGAATGTTTTAAAGTATTTCCCTTTTGACATCCTCATGCAATATTTTAGAATAAATATGAATACAAAGTATGAGAGAGTTAAGAGTAAAAATAAAGCCAGCTATAATGTTTGTCTGAAACCAAATAATAAACAAGAGTTACCATAAGGAGTTGCTCAAAGGTTTAACTGGTCTTTAAGCATACTTATTAACAGTATCTTAAAAATAAAGTGTGTCTGTCTATAAAATACTGTAACATACGCAACCTCCTTGACATTCCACCAAATGACATGAAAGGTAAACAAGCTAATTGACACTTGCTTATCAGCACTGGTAGTCCCGGAGTCCTTTGGGAACAAAAGCCTTACTTGATTCATACTCATTCATCTCCGTAAACCATTTAAATTTCATTAGGTTTACTGGTTAAGCTCAAGCCCTACAACAGCTTATATACGAAACACAAAAATATTTATAAAAATAATAGATATGTTATAGGTTTTTTAAAAAAATAAACCATGCAGCTTCTGTACAAAGTTAAGAACTGTACAAATTGATTTTTCTATTGTGTAAAATTCATGTACATGGAAGTCTTCTGTTATGATGAGAAGTTGTTTTATGCTTAGCCATCAGATGCTGTTTCATAACTATTGTTCATTTCCATCATTCATTTCTTTCACTTGGCATTAACTGACCATTTAATTTCATCAGAAGTTTTACCACGAGACCTGCCTATATTAAAGGTATACAATTAAATTCCATCAGAAATTCAGAACTATGATGAAATCAAGTATATGACAAATGCAAATACAGAAGAATAATGTTAGAAGTCACATCACTTTAGAAAAAAAAGAAGATAAAACCTAGATTTTTCTCAGCTA